TAATCATTTAGAATTCAACAGTTTTTAATAATAGGGTCCGTATCTCTACACTTCTAGACGTAGTATCAAATTATAGTTGCCATAGACCCGGTTTCATACACACCCGCTTAAGTAAATTTCAAGGGAAATTGTTTTCCCAATTCTTCTTATTGTTAAATACTCCTATGCAATACTGTAGGCCCCTGGTATAAAATTGACAGATCAATTAGACACTCTGTAAAGATCGATCGAAGTACTGACTTTGTTTATATCGAATGGGTGAAATTGCGCACAAACTTCAAACTCTTGGCCTAACATACAATGCATGCCAGAGGAAAGGATATCATGTTTTAGTCACCAAATAGGATTTTCCACGGACGCACAGATTAGGCCTTCTAATAGTATGGCCCAAAGAAAACGAGTTTCTGGTCTCGAAAATCCAGACACTTCGTTAAGGCTTATACAGTACAAAATACTGTACAATATATAATTCATTGAAAACGCTTTAAAATGAAGTTTATGTATATATACTAATATTTTGCTAATCTTGGGTTTTAAAAAGCAATTTTGGGATTTTTTAGACCCAATCTTGAATTTTGATTTTCCCTAGTGGTCACGCTGCATTTAGTTTAGAATTATACCCCGACGATATCAAACTATTGTAGGCCTATAGGCTTAAGTACAGTAGGATATACTACTAGGCCTAGGCTTTTGTTGTAAAAGTTAAAGTGCATGTACAGGATGCGCCATAAGCCTATATTTCAAAAAAATAATACATTTTGTTAATTATTATTGGTTGGCCTGGGACATAGGCAGGCAGGCCAGCTTTGCCGTCGAAAGTCCTGGGATTCGACAATGACGTCAGTGCACATGTTTACAAACGCCATTGATTGGAATGAAAATATAGACGCGCTGAATTTTGTTTGTTTTATGAAAGATAGTATTTATCGAACATTTATCTATATAAAAACAAGATTAATATTGTAGAAATTGTATTTCTAAAGATTCATATATAATTCATATTTCATTTGATAGACAATAAATATTCAGTAAGATACTAAAAACGATTATTAATTCTGAAATGGGCATCAAATCTCAGCTATTATTAATCAGTTTGTATTAGGTTAAAGTCTTAAAACAATAATTTCGAATTAGGCCTAGTAAACAAATAATTGTAACTAAAGTTTAGGTTCCCATGATGTCAGATGACGTATTCAATATGATGCTATATTTTGGGCTCTGACTTAATTTAACGATGGCCCTGTCAGTTGTAATGACAATATTTGTGCTTTTTTAGCCATGTAGTAAAAATAGTACTATTATTTTCAGTGTACAAGATGAGAGTCAATAAGAAGTTCAGCTCCTACTTTGTTTTGTAACAGGCAAATCTATTTGTTTATATAAGCCTACTGGAAGATTCATTATTTAAGTTAAAACAAGACAAAACTTCTTAAATGTTTTATGTATTATAAATAATAAGTACATAATTCTTTGTAAATTACTTTATGCCTATAATAGCTTGTTTTGTTTTGTAATAAATGTGTTGAGTATATTGATATTGATTATGCGATGAAGTTTTTTTTTGTCTTTCGTTGTGATTAAAACATGCCAATTTTCAGAAAATATTTTCCAGTTTTATTATATTACCATCTTTTATTACATAGATCTTTTTCAAAACATAACTGCTTTTATAACATTGTATAGACCCAAACACAAAAACTGCTCTGGCTTCGGAGGCTTCGCCCACAACCCCACCGGGGCCCTTAGGCAGTCCCCTGGACCCCACGCCCAGAGAACCCCCCTTGAAATGACCTGGCTACGGGCCTGGGATTGGATTTATTGGATTGGATTTATTCGGTGTAAACACAAAGGATAGCCTACGAATGTCTATAAGAAGACTTATTTCCAGTGGGGTCCTTCTGGTTGTGATTGGGCATTACACCGGGAGACAATCCCTTACTCTTTTCCGAAGAGTGTACTGCGTTTTTGAACGTGCACATGGGCCCAACGGCTTTAACGTCTCTACCGAAAGACTGTGCGCTATTGTAACTTATATTTCAGCCCTCCAGCTGAAACACAAGGAGCCAAGAAATCATTACTTCCTTTATAAATATGAGGTGTGATGTAAACAAAAATTAAAACAAAAATAAAACAGAACATAAATTTTATATTGCTATGCAATCTTTATTATCATATTTATTATTTAAGTACTTTAATATCTTATATAATACTGTATTATAGAACACTCTTTTGCCTAGTACCTACCATCTGAATAAAAGTCTTTTGATATTGTAGTCATACTGTTTAATGTTGATATAATGGTACTTTGTCGGGTTAATAATTTAATGCCGTATGATTTATTAAGCAAACACAATATGCTATAAACAAACACAATAATAAGATATTGACTATGAATAATAATA